ACGCCATGGACCCACTACGCCATGGACCCACTACGCCATGGACCCACTACGCCATGGACCCACTACGCCATGGACCCACTACGCCATGGACCCACTACGCCATGGACCCACTACGCCATGGACCCACTACGCCATGGACCCACTACGCCATGGACCCACTACGCCATGGACCCACTACGCCATGGACCCACTACGCCATGGACCCACTACGCCATGGACCCACTACGCCATGGACCCACTACGCCATGGACCCACTACGCCATGGACCCACTACGCCATGGACCCACTACGCCATGGACCCACTACGCCATGGACCCACTACGCCATGGACCCACTACGCCATGGACCCACTACGCCATGGACCCACTACGCCATGGACCCACTACGCCATGGACCCACTACGCCATGGACCCACTACGCCATGGACCCACTACGCCATGGACCCACTACGCCATGGACCCACTACGCCATGGACCCACTACGCCATGGACCCACTACGCCATGGACCCACTACGCCATGGACCCACTACGCCATGGACCCACTACGCCATGGACCCACTACGCCATGGACCCACTACGCCATGGACCCACTACGCCATGGACCCACTACGCCATGGACCCACTACGCCATGGACCCACTACGCCATGGACCCACTACGCCATGGACCCACTACGCCATGGACCCACTACGCCATGGACCCACTACGCCATGGACCCACTACGCCATGGACCCACTACGCCATGGACCCACTACGCCATGGACCCACTACGCCATGGACCCACTACGCCATGGACCCACTACGCCATGGACCCACTACGCCATGGACCCACTACGCCATGGACCCACTACGCCATGGACCCACTACGCCATGGACCCACTACGCCATGGACCCACTACGCCATGGACCCACTACGCCATGGACCCACTACGCCATGGACCCACTACGCCATGGACCCACTACGCCATGGACCCACTACGCCATGGACCCACTACGCCATGGACCCACTACGCCATGGACCCACTACGCCATGGACCCACTACGCCATGGACCCACTACGCCATGGACCCCACTACGCCATGGACCCACACGCCATGGACCCACTACGCCATGGACCCACTACGCCATGGACCCACTACGCCATGGACCCACTACGCCATGGACCCCCACTACGCCAATGGACCCACTACGCCCATGGACCCACTACGCATGGACCCACTACGCCATGGACCCACTACGCCATGGACCCCACTACGCCATGGACCCACTACGCCATGGACCCACTACGCCATGGACCCACTACGCCATGGACCCACTACGCCATGGACCCACTACGGCCATGGACCCACTACGCCATGGACCCACTACGCCATGGGACCCACTACGCCATGGACCCACTACGCCATGGACCCACTACGCCATGGACCCACTACGCCATGGACCCCACTACGCCATGGACCCACTACGCCATGGACCCACTACGCCATGGACCCACTACGCCATGGACCCACTACGCCATGGACACACTACGCCATGGACCCACTACGCCATGGACCCACTACGCCATGGACCAACTACGCCATGAACCCACTACGCCATGGACCCACTACGCCATGGACCCACTACGCCATGGACCCACTACGCCATGGACCCACTACGCCATGGACCCACTACGCCCGGCCCCCCCCCCCCCCTGGCCCACTACGCCATGGACCCACTACGCCATGGACCCACTACGCCATGGACCCACTACGCCATGGACCCAACTACGCCATGGACCCACTACGCCATGGACCCACTACGCCATGGACCCACTACGCCATGGACCCACTACGCCATGGACCCACTACGCCATGGACCCACTACGCCATGGACCCACTACGCCATGGACCCCACTACGCCATGGACCCACTACGCCATGGACCCACTACGCCATGGACCCACTACGCCATGGACCCACTACGCCATGGACCCCACTACGCCATGGGACCCACTACGCCATGGAACCCACTACGCCATGGACCCACTACGCCATGGACCCACTACGCCATGGACCCACTACGCCATGGACCCACTACGCCATGGACCCACTACGCCATGGACCCACTACGCCATGGACCCACTACGCCATGGACCCACTACGCCATGGACCCACTACGCCATGGACCCACTACGCCATGGACCCACTACGCCATGGACCCACTACGCCATGGACCCCACTACGCCATGGACCCACTACGCCATGGACCCACTACGCCATGGACCCACTACGCCATGGACCCACTACGCCATGGACCCACTACGCCATGGACCCACTACGCCATGGACCCACTACGCCATGGACCCACTACGCCATGGACCCACTACGCCATGGACCCACTACGCCATGGACCCACTACGCCATGGACCCACTACGCCATGGACCCACTACGCCATGGACCCACTACGCCATGGACCACTACGCCATGGACCCACTACGCCATGGACCCACTACGCCATGGACCCACTACGCCATGGACCCACTACGCCATGGACCCACTACGCCATGGACCCACTACGCCATGGACCCACTACGCCATGGACCCACTACGCCATGGACCCACTACGCCATGGACCCACTACGCCATGGACCCACTACGCCATGGACCCACTACGCCATGGACCCACTACGCCATGGACCCACTACGCCATCGGACCCACTACGCCATGGATCCCACTACGCCATGGACCCACTACGGCCATGGACCCCACTACGCCATGGACCCACTACGCCATGGACCCCACTACGCCATGGACCCCACTACGCCATGGACCCACTACGCATGGACCCCACTACGCCATGGACCCACTACGCCATGGACCCACTACGCCATGGACCCCACTACGCCATGGACCCCACTACGCCATGGACCCCACTACGCCATGACCCACTACGCCATGGACCCACTACGCCATGGACCCACTACGCCATGGACCCACTACGCCATGGACCCCATACGCCATGGACCCACTACGCCATGGACCCACTACGCCATGGACCCACTACGCCATGACCCACTACGCCATGGACCCACTACGCCATGGACCCACTACGCCATGGACCCACTACGCCATGGACCCACTACGCCATGACCCACTACGCCATGGACCCACTACGCCATGGACCCACTACGCCATGGACCCACTACGCCATGGACCCACTACGCCATGGACCCACTACGCCATGGACCCACTACGCCATGGACCCACTACGCCATGGACCCCACTACGCCATGGACCCACTACGCCATGGACCCACTACGCCATGGACCCACTACGCCATGGACCCACTACGCCATGGACCCACTACGCCATGGACCCACTACGCCATGGACCCACTACGCCATGGACCCACTACGCCATGGACCCCACTACGCCATGGACCCACTACGCCATGGACCCACTACGCCATGGACCCACTACGCCATGGACCCACTACGCCATGGACCCACTACGCCATGGACCCACTACGCCATGGACCCACTACGCCATGGACCCACTACGCCATGGACCCACTACGCCATGGACCCACTACGCCATGGACCCACTACGCCATGGACCCACTACGCCATGGACCCACTACGCCATGGACCCACTACGCCATGGACCCACTACGCCATGGACCCACTACGCCATGGACCCACTACGCCATGGACCCACTACGCCATGGACCCACTACGCCATGGACCCACTACGCCATGGACCCACTACGCCATGGACCCACTACGCCATGGACCCACTACGCCATGGACCCACTACGCCATGGACCCACTACGCCATGGACCCACTACGCCATGGACCCACTACGCCATGGACCCACTACGCCATGGACCCACTACGCCATGGACCCACTACGCCATGGACCCACTACGCCATGGACCCACTACGCCATGGACCCACTACGCCATGGACCCACTACGCCATGGACCCACTACGCCATGGACCCACTACGCCATGGACCCACTACGCCATGGACCCACTACGCCATGGACCCCACTACGCCATGGACCCACTACGCCATGGACCCACTACGCCATGGACCCACTACGCCATGGACCCACTACGCCATGGACCCACTACGCCATGGACCCACTACGCCATGGACCCACTACGCCATGGACCCACTACGCCATGGACCCACTACGCCATGGACCCACTACGCCATGACCCACTACGCCATGGACCCACTACGCCATGGACCCACTACGCCATGGACCCACTACGCCATGGACCCACTACGCCATGGACCCACTACGCCATGGACCCACTACGCCATGGACCCACTACGCCATGGACCCACTACGCCATGGACCCACTACGCCATGGACCCACTACGCCATGGACCCACTACGCCATGGACCCACTACGCCATGGACCCACTACGCCATGGACCCACTACGCCATGGACCCACTACGCCATGGACCCACTACGCCATGGACCCACTACGCCATGGACCCACTACGCCATGGACCCACTACGCCATGGACCCACTACGCCATGGACCCACTACGCCATGGACCCACTACGCCATGGACCCACTACGCCATGGACCCACTACGCCATGGACCCACTACGCCATGGACCCACTACGCCATGGACCCACTACGCCATGGACCCACTACGCCATGGACCCACTACGCCATGGACCCACTACGCCATGGACCCACTACGCCATGGACCCACTACGCCATGGACCCACTACGCCATGGACCCACTACGCCATGGACCCACTACGCCATGGACCCACTACGCCATGGACCCACTACGCCATGGACCCACTACGCCATGGACCCACTACGCCATGGACCCACTACGCCATGGACCCACTACGCCATGGACCCACTACGCCATGGACCCACTACGCCATGGACCCACTACGCCATGGACCCACTACGCCATGGACCCACTACGCCATGGACCCACTACGCCATGGACCCACTACGCCATGGACCCACTACGCCATGGACCCACTACGCCATGTCTCCTCTCCTCCTCCCTCCACAAGCAAAGCCTTTTCCTCTCTCTCTCTCCGATCCCCAACGCCTTTCTCTCATCCACTTCATGCGCGTGCATCCCGTTTCTCCCGTAATCAGAGTCAGCAGCAGCTGGCCACAGACGAGGAGTTCGGTGCGGTGGTGAGGGGCCGGTTTGGCATTCGGCTGGGGGCAGATGATGTGAGGGCCATGCCTCCTGTGCCCAGGGAGCCGCCACTTGGCGACGTGTGGTTGGCCAGCGAGTGGCGAAAGTTGCACGATGTTGGAACATTGAGATGTGAAAGCCAGGCAGATGTGCTGATGTGATGCCCATTGACCAGTCCAGTCCGTTGCTACCAATTGCTGATCGTCTTCATTGTGCATTGTAATGTGAGACAAGATGCGCACAGATAGGAGAACGCAGGGAGTGGGATCCAGGAGTGCGTTTGGTGGATGTTGTAAGCAGTCCTCACCTCATAAATTATAGAACCCCACGTACTATTTACCAAACTGTTACGAGTGCAATTGAGTAAACGAACGAGGATTGCACTATCAAAACAAGAGTCCAATGAGCGAAGGCATGAGCGACGAATATATAGCGAAACTACATTGGTAACGGTAATGCGTGAAAATGGGGTGCGCGACGGGCCTGGCGCTGAGGTTGGGAAATGACGAGGCGGAGGTCCGGAGCGCGGGTTACCAACCGAACCGTGAGGTTGGGTCGCGTTGTGAACAGTGGCGGGAACAGTGTCGAGGCGAATGTCGCGAGTGGTAACGGCTTACAGTGGTGTACGCGGAGCAGGGACGCGAAGTAAGGAAAAGGATTTTTCCTTGCACAAACTTTGTTATAACGCTGTTTTTTTTCCCAGCAATATATTTTTGCCAAATGTTGTTCTTTACCGCATTCCACCCCTTTAAGTACACTGCTTGCCCACCTTCGCGAGCCGCGCAGAACACTACTTCGGCGTTGGCGGCTACTATTTGCTGACAGGCATGGACGAAAGTAGCTCACGCGCATACTCCGCATTCACCCTCATCCTGCCTGGTTCCCCGCGCCGCTCTCGCTTCAACCCGCGTTACCACTCGCGTCGCGAGCATCTCGTCGCGTTGACCGCGCAACGAACCCCCTCCCCCTTGCCCGAGCCCCACGTCACCGTGAGTTGGAAGCTTCCGCGTAGCGCCTCCTCAGTATTAACCGCGCAGCTCTTCGCATTACGACTAGGGCGTGTTCACATGCACTGACTCCACGGCGGGCTGTCACTCGCCATGCGCGCAACGGGTGCGCGTCTGTCGTCCGTCTGCCGGCGCACCCTCGTCGAACCGCTCTCTTCTCAGCCCAGACCTTCGAGGCTCGGAGGCATTCGAACCACCACGTCCGAGCCTCAGCAGGCTCGGCATAGTGGATCTTACACACCTCCGTCTTTCCTAGATAGTAGTACAGCCCGGTCTCACCCAGGAAAGGTCACGAAGCTTCTGACTGGCTGGCGAGGAGGGGCCTTGCGAAGGATGACGTCAGCCGTGACTAATGGCGAGCCACGTCAGGCTGACGTGGACGAGTTCAGAGAGTTCCTGTCGCGAGCATCGGTGAGAAGCGCGCGTTGGTGCTGAAGCTTGGGGGGCCACTCGTGGGAAGGGGGGGAGTGGGGTGGAGTGAGGGGGAGTTTGGGGGGAGAGGAGGAGGGGGACGTTAACGGGAGGTTTCAGGAGGGGGAGCAAGTTGAGGTGTGGTGGGGGAGGGGCAGACACGTGAAGTGGAAGGGCGTGCTGCAGGGATGGAGGGAGGTGTGCGATGAGAAGACAAGTAGGGGGAAGAAGAGGAGGGGGTGTGCAGGGCCCGAGGATTGAAGTATGATCGAACTGATGATAGTTTGATGGCACCTGCAAATCACGTTGTTGTCACCCCTTGTGAGAGGCCTTTCCTTGCTCACCCTCCGGCCACTGCCCTGTGTGTGACTCCGTGCAGCGTGTGGCGGTGCTGACGGGGGCGGGTGTGTCTGCAGCATCAGGCGTGCCCACCTTCAGAGGGGTGGGTGGGCTCTGGCGCACCTATGATGCCACGGTGGGTGCCATGCCACGGTGGGTGCCATGCCACGGTGGGTGCCATGCCCTGGTGGGTGCCATGCCATCTTGCATGCTTCATGTTTCGCATTGTAGATGATGACCCATGGTGGGTCACTCGCGTGCTGCCTTGCTGTGCGTGGCACCCATAAGGCCATGTCGAATGCCTATCCTTCCGTGCATCATGCTTAGCATGCCCGCGCACCTCTCGCCCTCGCCCTTCTCATCCCTGCGCCCACAGGAGCTGGCAACCCCACAGGCGTTTGCAGCGGACCCATCGCTGGTGTGGGAGTTCTACCACTACCGCAGGTGCCTCCCTCTACCACTACCGCAGGTGCCTCCCTCTACCACTACCGCAGGTGCCTCCCTCTACCACTACCGCAGGTGCCTCCCTCTACCACTACCGCAGGTGCCTCCCTCTACCACTACCGCAGGTGCCTCCCTCTACCACTACCGCAGGTGCCTCCCTCTACCACTACCGCAGGTGCCTCCCTCTACCACTACCGCAGGTGCCTCCCTCTACCACTACCGCAGGTGCCTCCCTCTACCACTACCGCAGGTGCCTCCCTCTACCACTACCGCAGGTGCCTCCCTCTACCACTACCGCAGGTGCCTCCCTCTACCACTACCGCAGGTGCCTCCCTCCTGCCGCCTACCACCACCTCAGTCACGCACTTCCTTCCTACTGCCACCACTGCAGGGCAATCCTCTTGGCACAAGTGTCGCTTGTTTAATATCTGAAAGCCGTGTTGCCCGTCCAGCAGTAGCATCAGGTATAGTAAAAGAGTGATATTCTCATGCTAAAGTTAGCTAAGTCGCGTGTCAGTGAGCTGACATCAGCAGATTCCTTTGATCACATGGGCCGTGCATTGAATAGAACATGACTAGGACACTCAATTCTCAGGTTGAAAATTCTGTCCCTTTTTCTTTAGCCATTCTATCTCCCTCTTTGTTACTTTCCGCTTTCCCCCTCCCCGGGCATGGCTGGGTGGCAGGAGTGTGGTGGCACGGTGCACACCCAATGCAGGCCACGAGGCGCTGGTGCAGCTGGAGCAGCGCTGCCAGCAGCAGGGCAAAGCATTCACGCTCCTCACTCAGGTGCCGTGTCGTTGCTCCTCTGCTGCACGGCTCACATGTCTTCATGCGCCCCTGCCATCATGCTGCTTGCACCGTTTTTGTCACACATGCACTCCTGCCTCGACGCCCCTTTGTGCACTGCTCTCTGTGCATTGGCAGCATGCCCACCATTGCTGCCATCATCGCCACCCACCCCACCCATCATCACTCCTCGTCACCCCCTGGAACCCCTCAGAACGTGGACGGGCTGCACACAGCGGCAGGCAGCAGCGCGCTGGTGGAGCTGCACGGCTGCCTCTGGCGCACCCGCTGCCTCACCTGTGGTGACATCGCAGAGAACCGCACTCAACCGATTTGCGCTGCTCTTGAGGGCAAGGTAGTGGGAGGTGATAGGATGAGGGGAATCATGGACGAATGGCACATGGGAGTGGAGGGGCTTAAGGGGGGGGTGTGGGACGAATGTGGTGATCGGGGGGATGGGGGGAGGGTGCTGTGATGGATCTTCTTTGGGGGGATGGAAGTGTGCCTGTACAACCAGCTGCTCTACTTGTTCATGTGTCCCGCACATTCCCCATCAACTCCTGTCACACCATTGCCTGCCACTCCCTCATCCACTCTCACACATTATCCCAACCCCATCATCCTCCCTCCGCTCGTCTCCCCTCTTGTTCTTTCTGCGCTGCTCCGTCAGCTCCTCCTTATTCCCCATGTCTCGCCACATTCTGCCGCTCATTCCGTCGCGCACCAGTCATCCGTGCCTCTCCACTCCCTGCAATGCACTGCACGGCTGCACCCGGCTCATCGTTTCTTCCCTCCCCTTCCCACCACCTCCTCCTCTCCGCCTTGCTGTGCTGCAGGGAGCGCCCAGCAAGGGTGCCAAGGCAGCGAGCATTGCTCTCAAGGACCTGCCGCTCTGCACCAAGCTGCCAGAAGGTGTAGCCTCGGGCCGACCCTGCAAGGGGTTGCTTCGGCCGGACGTGGTGTGGTTCGGGGAGTGTTTGGATCCGCGCGTGGTGCAAGCAGCTGAGGGCGCCCTCACTGGCTGCGACCTGCTGCTCGTTGTTGGCACCTCGGGAGTTGTGCATGTGAGGCGGCGTGCATGTGAGGCGGTGTGCATGTGAGGCGGCGTGCACGTATCTGCATCAGTAGTATGCTGTTTTTTATTGGATGTTACCACTTTATATTTTCAACAGTCCTAGCGCCTCCGCGCCATCTCTACATTCCATCCACTCACCTCCTGTCCCGCCCCCCCCTTTCCGCCCCGTCACCTGCAACTCCTTTTCCCCCCCCTGGTCCTCTGTCCCCTGGCTACAGCAAAAAACCATTCAGCCCATCTTCTCATCTTCATTCCTGCCTTGCTCATCCCTGTAGCCAGCACCAGGGTGTGTCCCGCCAGGGCCCCAGGTTGCAGTCAGGGGCCCAGGTTGCAGTCAGGGGCCCAGGTTGCAGTCAGGGGCCCAGGTTGCAGTCAGGGGCCCAGGTTGCAGTCAGGGGCGCAGGTTGCAGTCAGGTGGTAGCACTAACTCCACTCTCTCTCATCCTCCCATCTCACCTTGTTCCATCCATCCCCTCGCCTTTCCTCCCCCCTTCTCCTGTCCTCTGTTTGTCAAACCCCCACCTCCCCCCCCCGCACTCACTGCAGCCAGCAGTGGGGTATGCTCGGGTGGTGCGGGCGGCAGGGGGGCGGGTGGCGGAGTTCAACGCGGAAGCCACGACGCTCTCCCCTCTCGCCACCTGGAAGTTCCCTGGAGACTCCACCACGCTGTTGCCACTCGTGCTGGGGTGAATGGAAGCGAGAGGGGTCGATGACAACTCAGCAATGTATTGTATGTATACGCTAGACTGGAATGCACCATGAGGGATTATCGAGGCTTGATCATCAGCCACACATGCGACCAGGACTTCAGATCAGATTCGTCAAATTATCCGTGCACAAAAGAAATGCCGGAAATGAAGGTTCAACCATTGTCGTATGGATGCACAACCAATGCAGACTATATTACACTATGTATGCTGATTCACCTGTACAAGAAGGCGGACTACAGTACAAACTATAATCAAACAGCATGTCACAACATGAATGCAGGCGAAATGTTGCCTACATGCCAACAGGGCGATATGCTTCGTCCTGTTCGCGAATCCGTTTTTGTTGGCTATGCGAATTGCCGACTGGTTGTCGCAGAACAGAGTGAAGCTGGGTAACTGAGCCAGCTTCGCTTCCTCCAAGAGTTCGCGAAGGTACAATCCTTCCTTGGTGGCTGAGCAGAGTGCGATGTATTCTGCTTCAGCTGAGGAGAGAGCGATTAATTCCTGCTTACTGGACTGCCACGAGATAGGTCCGATAGGTTCTAGGCGGTAGATGTAGCCTGTGCGCGAGCGCCGGTTGTCAGAATCTCCGGCGTGGTCGGCATCGACGTAGCCGATTAACTTAGGCGTTGTAGTTCCGTTCTTGTAGTAGGTCAAGCCGATCGTTGGAGTGCTAACGAGGTAGTGAAGAGCGCGGTCGAGCTCCGCCATGTGTTCAGCTTCAGGCCTTTTAAGGTAGGTGGCGAGTTGACTTGCAGAGTATGATAGGTCCGGGCGGCAGGTGACAGCTGCGAAGAGAAGGCATCCCAGCTTCCTCTGGTAGTCGCGTATCCCGGCAGGCTTGAGTGGAGTGGAGCCTTCCTTGTGATTTCCTGCCGTGTAGCGGTATGGCGTGGAGATGGTAGTTGGTGTGAGTGCGAAGCGTTTGGCGATGGTGTCGCCGTATTTCGCGGCATTGAGGTAGATCGCGTTGTCTTCTTCCTGAATGTTGAGGCCTAGGTACTGTGTGACGGTAGATGAGACTGTGAGCGTGAGATCTTTCTGTAGCTCCCCTTCGAACCAGGTAGTGACGTTGTTGGTCGACCCGATGTAGAGTAGATCGTCTACGTAGACGATCGGTAGGATGTAGTCGGTGCCTTTTGTAAGCCGATACATGCCTTGGTCGTGAGGTAGCTGGCGGAATCCAATGCGAATGAGCCGAGTCTGTAAGTATTGCTGCCACAGTCTCGGGGCCTGTTTGATGCCGTACAGTGACTTCAGCAGCTGACAGACGTGATTAGGTTCTCTGTTGGAGCCATGTGGTAGTTCGACGAAGATTTCTGCGTCGACAGGTGCGTAGAGGAATGCGTTGGCGACATCAATTTGCCGCAGTTTCTTCTTCTTCATGGCGGCGATCGCGAGGAGAATTCGCAGCGAGGTGTGTCGGCTGACCGGGGCGAATGTCTCGGTGAAGTCGCGTCCATGCTCTTGGTCGAAGCCGCGTACGACCCACCGCGCTTTAAACTTGTCGATGGTGCCGTCTGCTTTTGTCTTCACACGGAAGACCCACTTCCCGGTGAGTACTGTCTTGTTTCGTGCCATGCCGATGGGAACAACTTTCCAGGTGTTCCGTTCTTCCAGTGCTTTCAGCTCCTTGTCCATGGCTTCACGCCATTTTTCCCTATGCTCCCCCCCCAGAGCCTGCTGAACAGTGGCAGGCTCCTTAGGAAGCGCGACGCCGTGGACCGCGGTGACGAGGCCGAGTATCTGGAGGCCACTCTGTGTGTAGCGGGGGAGAGTTGTGTCCGCGGGATAAGTTGCTTCGTCACCTGCTTCTGGGTCAGGTATGAAGTTGGGCCCTATGCGTTCTGCTTCGTTGGTGTTGACTTCTGCATGTGTAACATAACCGTTGTCGGCGAAGTGGTAAAATACTTCGGCGTTGGCGCTTTCGCGAGGATTTTCGTCATCCATTGGGACGTCGACGGAGCAGTAAGGGAGAGGTCCGGCTTCCTCCGATGCTGCATCCACGTTCTGCTCGTCCCAATCAGCTTCGTCTGCTGCCGAGGCGAAGGCTCAGTCACCACGGAAGCCACCTGTGGGGTCCCGATCTTCTTCCAGGTTGGCAAGATACGTCGGAAGGGTGAGTCGTTCGTAGAAAATGACATCACGTGATGCTACTGTTTCCTTGGAGTGGACGTCGAAAATCTTCCACGCGTTGTAATTTCTTTCGATGCCAAGGTGTAGTCCCCACTGTGCGCGTTGGGAAAATCGGCCGGCTCGTGCAGATGGTGGTCGGTACTATACCATGCAGCCGAAAACTCTTAACATTTTTGTGCTGCCCTGTTTTCCTGTCCACAGCAGATGCGGTGATGCGTTGTTCGGGAGCGATAATGACGAGAGCAAGTTGTGCAGCATGACAGCGTGGTCCATTGCTTCGGGCCACTAGTGGTTGGGCAGTCGCATGCCTCGTAGCAGCTTGCGCATGGTGTTCTAGAGAGTCCTGTTCATCCTTTCTGCTACGCCTTGCTGCTGGTGAGCATAGGGAAGAGAGATGAGCCTTTTGATCCCTCTTTCTGCCAAGTACTGCTTGAACCGCTGTGAGGTGTATTCTCCTCCTCCATCTGACTGGAAGCTTTTTAGCTTCACGCCCGATTCTCGTTCTGCTACTGGGAACCAAGCGACGAAGGCCTCGAAGGCCATGTCCCTGCTTGGGAGGTTAAGGTGCCAAACGTAACGCGTAGCGGCATGGATGAACGTGATGGTGTAGCTGTATGCTCCTTGTCCAGGTTCGCGGTTGTACAGGATATCGCTGTACACCTTTTCCAGTGGTGCGTAAGCTGGTGCGCTGGGATTGTGATGAGAAGCGAACGGCCGATGTGGCAAGTCAGCTTCGGGGCAGGTAAAGCACGTTCCGCGAGCTCGTCGAAGTTCGCTTCCGTCGGTTAGGAGCAGTGAATCTTTATCGAGCACGCCTGCTCTGATTGTGTTGTTTAACACCGTGTTGCTTGGATGTCCCATTCGTGCGTGCCAGATATCTTCGGTGGCGCGATGTCCGGGTGAGCGCCGATATATGTCGGAGTTGGAGTAAAAGCTGGCGGTGAAGTTGGCGCTTCGATGGACTTCCCGTTGAGTTGGGTTCAGCTGCTGCGCAGGAGTTGGTGAAGTGTCGTCGATTGGAGTCAGTGCATTTGAAGGGCTAGCAATTGGTGTCGATGTTGCCGCTGCTGCTGCCGTTGTTTCTGCTGCTGCCGATGTTGTCTCCGCTGCTGCCGATGTTGTCTCTGCTGCTGCCGATGTTGTCTCTGCTGCTGCCGATGTTGTGTCTGCTCCTCCCGATTGTTGAATCGTTGCTAATGCTTTTGTTCGTTCTGCCTCAGGAATGGTGTGCAAGTACCAGAAGCCTTCGGGACTGAAGTCGAGGTCAAGATCTGGTGGGTGTGTCCAGGAGGTGAAGGTGACGATCCCGTCGCTGTCAGCGGTGCCGAGATCTGGGACGAAGTCGAGGACAAAGACGTTGTTTTTCAATAATGCCTTCCCGATGTTGAGTCCGCCCTTTCCGTGGTATAATTTGAACTCCTGAGTGGTGCTATCTGCTTCGAGGTGGATGCCTTTCGTCATCAGCTGGCTGACGCTCAGTAAGTTATAGCCGAGTCCCTCCGCGATTAGAACTTTTGACATCTGTAATATAACGTTTGTTTCCCTTGACTGAAGTTGAACCATGCCTTATCGTCGTGTGCGTAGGTTCTGGTTGTTGGCAATGGTGATGACGACTTCGCGTTGAAGTTGGTGTTCGCGCTGAACAAAACGTCCTGAACAGCACATGTGCTGTCCGCAGCAACTGTCCAAGAACCACGTATCTTTCCCGGATGGCTCGCTTTGGGCGATGGCTGCATACGTCGGATTTGGTTGAAGTGACTCGCGACGAGGTGTACTGTTGTCGAGTTGCTCTTCCGGTGAGTAATGCGGTGGTGACTCTGTGATGCAGGAGTCGGTCAGCCGTGCCATGCAACTGACGATGTTTCTTGTTCCTTGCGCAGATTGTCCCGTCGTTGTTGTTGAAGTTTGGATTCGAGTGGTCGGATTCGCTTGCATTGAGGCGACTTGACTGCTTGAAGGGCGAAGCGGTCGCTGCGTTGGCGTTGACTGCTGCCGGTTTGGGCAGTGTGTACGGGGGTGACCTGACGTTTTGCAAAGGTGACAGAACGGAGGTACTGGTTTCGGTTGATGCCGGTTGTTGTTGTTGTTGTAGCGTCGTTGAGTGTGGAATGCGAATTCGGGCACTGATGCCTTCCTCTTGTGTCGTTCTTCTTGTAGGTCCATATCTTGTTGCTCAGCGTGGATCTCGGCGCAGAGTGCTGCTTCTGATATATTTCCGTGAGCTCGGAGTATGGCGCGAGTGGAGCGCCACTGAGGACCGAGGCCGCCGATGATGACTGTGACAAAGGCGTCTTCTGAAATCGACCCTTCGCATCGAAGGAGTTTATCGCGCAATTCGCGACAGCGGCTGATATACGCCATCCCCTTTTCGCCCGGTTTCGTTTCGATTGTTGTCAGTTGCGCCATTAACCGACTTTGATTGACGCTGTCTGTTGCTTGATACAGGTTCTTCAGGTGGTTGTACGCGAGCTCTGCAGAGTTGCCGTATCCTCGGTAAGACCGTATATTCTGCTGCTCATTCGGAGTGATGTTTCTCAGTAGGATTGTGTACGCCATCATTGACTGATACGTATACTGCTGCTTGTCGTACTATGTGCCGTGTGTTGGATATGGCAAGGACCCGTCGAAGAAGCCAAGGATCTGCGCACCTTCCATCATCAGCTCGAACTCGAATGACCAGGTAAAGAAGTCCTTTTCGTCGAAAAGCCTTGTCGTTTGCAGTTTTGGGACGTGCGCGAACTGCGACTGAACTTGAAGTGCGTCCAGTGTCTTCTCTTGTCCAGGTGCAGGCTGCGGGTGTGGCATAAAGCTGATGGAGCCGCGCTGGGGCTCGTACGGAGCGAAGGTAGGCTGCTGCTGTTGATTTCCGCGTGCGTAAGACGAGCCATCGAGACTCATGGGTGTCACGTCGTTGTTGTTGTTGCTGGTGTTGTTCGTAGAAGGACATGAAGGAGAAGAACTTCTCCATCATGCTTGGGTCGAAGCCCGCGGCTTGGTTTGCGGGAGTTTGGGTAGATGTTGCCCTTGGTCTTGTTGCTGTACCCTCCTTTGTCTGTAGGCCAGAGGCAGGAGGTGGAGTAGGAATAGTACCGGGAGAGCTGTTAGAGGAGCTTCTCTCCTTCTGCGTTGCCATGCCTTGTGACGTTGTGGGTGTCTTGATTGTAGTTGAATTTGTCCTGATAGCTCTCATACCATGTTGGGATGAGAAAAGCCCTTAGGATCTTTGCAGGACAAAACTCAGAGTAGGAACAGTGTAATAGCGGAAGCGTTTAATGATAAGTCTGTGAACCACCTTGCGCTGGTATGTGAGGGCAAAGTCGATTGATTAAACACAAAGAGATACAAGCCTTTTATAAGAGTACAAGGGAATATGAAGGGTTATAACTAATAACTGTTTTGCTGTTGCTGTTGCGGTTCGATACAGTGACGACTCGGGCAACTGCTCAATAGCGAGTAAGTTGTTTGTCCTTGCTGTCGCGCTGTACTTGTCAGGTCAAAGGTCGCTGACATTTGACTTTCGCGTAACCTCCAGCAGTTGCTCAACCTCCGAGGGTTGACTTGCTGATGCTTCGATATGTTTGGCTTCGCTTCTGACTTGGTGCTTCGACACGACAGAGGCGCTTAAGTTACTTGTTTCCAACATAGGTGGCTTCCGTGGTGACTGAGCCTTCGCCTCGGCAGCAGACGAAGCTGACTGGGACGAGCAGAACGTGGATGCAGCATCGGAGGAAGCCGGACCTCTCCCTTACTGCTCCGTCGACGTCCCAATGGATGACGAAAATCCTCGCGAAAGCGCCAACGCCGAAGTATTTTACCACTTCGCCGACAACGGTTATGTTACACATGCAGAAGTCAACACCAACGAAGCAGAACGCATAGGGCCCAACTTCATACCTGACCCAGAAGCAGGTGACGAAGCAACTTATCCCGCGGACACAACTCTCCCCCGCTACACACAGAGTGGCCTCCAGATACTCGGCCTCGTCACCGCGGTCCACGGCGTCGCGCTTCCTAAGGAGCCTGCCACTGTTCAGCAGGCTCTGGGGGGGGAGCATAGGGAAAAATGGCGTGAAGCCATGGACAAGGAGCTGAAAGCACTGGAAGAACGGAACACCTGGAAAGTTGTTCCCATCGGCATGGCACGAAACAAGACAGTACTCACCGGGAAGTGGGTCTTCCGTGTGAAGACAAAAGCAGACGGCACCATCGACAAGTTTAAAGCGCGGTGGGTCGTACGCGGCTTCGACCAAGAGCATGGACGCGACTTCACCGAGACATTCGCCCCGGTCAGCCGACACACCTCGCTGCGAATTCTCCTCGCGATCGCCGCCATGAAGAAGAAGAAACTGCGGCAAATTGATGTCGCCAACGCATTCCTCTACGCACCTGTCGACGCAGAAATCTTCGTCGAACTACCACATGGCTCCAACAGAGAACCTAATCACGTCTGTCAGCTGCTGAAGTCACTGTACGGCATCAAACAGGCCCCGAGACTGTGGCAGCAATACTTACAGACTCGGCTCATTCGCATTGGATTCCGCCAGCTACCTCACGACCAAGGCATGTATCGGCTTACAAAAGGCACCGACTACATCCTACCGATCGTCTACGTAGACGATCTACTCTACATCGGGTCGACCAACAACGTCACTACCTGGTTCGAAGGGGAGCTACAGAAAGATCTCACGCTCACAGTCTCATCTACCGTCACACAGTACCTAGGCCTCAACATTCAGGAAGAAGACAACGCGATCTACCTCAATGCCGCGAAATACGCCGACACCATCGCCAAACGCTTCGCACTCACACCAACTACCATCTCCACGCCATACCGCTACACGGCAGGAAATCACAAGGAAGGCTCCACTCCACTCAAGCCTGCCGGGATACGCGACTACCAGAGGAAGCTGGGATGCCTTCTCTTCGCAGCTGTCACCTGCCGCCCGGACCTATCATACTCTGCAAGTCAACTCGCCACCTACCTTAAAAGGCCTGAAGCTGAACACATGGCGGAGCTCGACCGCGCTCTTCACTACCTCGTTAGCACTCCAACGATCGGCTTGACCTACTACAAGAACGGAACTACAACGCCTAAGTTAATCGGCTACGTCGATGCCGACCACGCCGGAGATTCTGACAACCGGCGCTCGCGCACAGGCTACATCTACCGCCTAGAACCTATCGGACCTATCTCGTGGCAGTCCAGTAAGCAGGAATTAATCACTCTCTCCTCAGCTGAAGCAGAATACATCGCACTCTGCTCAGCCACCAAGGAAGGATTGTACCTTCGCGAACTCTTGGAGGAAGCGAAGCTGGCTCAGTTACCCAGCTTCACTCTGTTCTGCGACAACCAGTCGGCAATTCGCATAGCCAACAAAAATGGATTCGCGAACAGGACGAAGCATATCGCCCTGCGATATTTCTTCGTAAAAGACGAGATCAAGAAGGGGAGACTCGAATTATCCTACTGCCCCACGACCGAGATGGCAGCTGATTACTTGACCAAGAAGCTCGGAAAGCAAAAGTTCGAGTACTGCATGCTGCTGACTGGACAGAGCCACGTCACCAGCAGCGACACTGCAGAAGTGAAAGGGAGTGTTGGAAACAAGTAACTTAAGCGCCTCTGTCGTGTCGAAACACCAAGTCAGAAGCGAAGCCCAACATATCGAAGCATCAGCAAGTCAACCCTCGGAGGTTGAGCAACTGCTGGAGGTTACGCGAAAGTCAAAGGTCAGCGACCTTTGACCTGACAAGTACAGCGCGACAGCAAGGACAAACAACTGACTCGCTATTGAGTAGTTGCCCGAGTCGTCACTGTATCGAACCGCAACAGCAACAGCAAAACAGTTATTAGTTATAACCCTTCATATTCCCTTGTACTCTTATAAAAGGCTTGTATCTCTTTGTGTTTAATCAATCGACTTTGCCCTCACATACCAGCGCAAGGTGGTTCACAGACTTATCATTAAACGCTTCCGCTATTACACTGTTCCTACTCTGAGTTTAGTCCTGCAAAGATCCTAAGGGCTTTTCTTAGCCCAACAACCAGGACTTCAGATCAGATTCGTCAAATTATCCGTGCACAAAAGAAATGCCGGAAATGAAGGTTCAACCATTGTCGTATGGATGCACAACCAATGCAGACTATATTACACCATGTATGCTGATTCATCTGTACAATAAGGCTGACTACAGTACAAACTATAATCAAACAGCATGTCACAACATGAATGCAGGCGAAATGTTGCCAACATGCCATGATACCTATCAGCAGACTCTGAGAGGCTCATCTTTTTGGACATCTTAGCACGAGGTGAAACGTTGTGTACTCTTGAGAGTAGTGCAGGGAAACTGCAGCAAGGTGACGTTTGAATCCGACTCAGGAGTCACCCAGGAAGTGCCTACTGTATTGCTGAGCCACATGCTGCCTCCTCTGCTGCAGATCTCGGTGTTTCGACGGCAGCATCTGTCGAGTTCTCCAATGCTTCAATCTGGACCTGCATGGATGAATGAACAGCAAACCATCGGAAGCCAGAAACAGCTCCTTGGGTGATCAGAAACTTCTACGAGGCGAGTCTAAGACCGGTTAAGCGAGACGGTGACATGTGCCTGGCAAGAAAATCGCGCGCACATTTTGTGAAAATGCTTACGCGTCAACAACCAATCGCTAACATTGATTCGAAAGATACAACAGTACTGAAAACCGGTGAGTGTACCTGTAGGTCTCGTATGTGAGAGAGAGCAGACTCCACCATTGTGGCTGTATCGAGTTGTGCTCTTGTGAGAGATGGGGGTAGCACCCTACGAAGCTTCTCCAGGCCTCTCCTGATACAATCACATCCAATATATGCACAGGATTAGAATAAGGTCACATGCTCACTTGATACAGACCTCGCAAGTAACTCGGGTCTCACAAACAAGACCGACTGCCCACTGAACGTTCAACCAATGCAGATGGCAGATAGGACTTCACAAGCAGAGGAGGGGGAGGGGAAGAGGAGGGGGATGGGAAGAGGAGGGGGAGGAGAAGAGGAGGGGGAGGGAAAAGAAGAGGAAGGAGAAAACTGTAGTGGACAGGGGGAGAGAAGGAAGAGATTGGGGCGGGTGGTGGCGGAGGAGGAGGGGAAGGGTGGAAAGGGACAAGAGGAGGGAACAAAGGGGAGGAAACAGCGGGGTGGAAGGTTAGAGAGGGAGGGAAGGAGAGGGAAAGCGTTTTGCAAGAAGATGGTCACCTGATGCAATCGCGGCGGTGCCTCTCCTTCATGCTCCTGGCCTGTATGCACCCCAGCCCCACCGCCTGCCCATCCAATCGTGCTCGAATGCGCGGTCGCCAGTCCTCCCCTTCCCACCCGCCCTCTTTCCGCTTTGCCTCATTCACTCCCGTCTCTTCCTTTCTCACCGCCCACTCTGCCTTAATCACTTCCCTCTCGTCCGATACTCCCCTCACTTTCGACCACTGCAGTACCTTCTCCGAACCAATCAGGGACGTCCACGTGGCAGGAGGCTCTTGCACTGTCACGGCATGACCCCATTCTCCCTCATGGCACACACCAGGAGTGGCAGCAGGTAAACAGCAAGCACCAGCACAGGCAGGCGTGCAGCAAACACCAGGAGCGGTGGGCGTGAAGAAAGCAGGGAGCGGACAGGCAGCAGCAGCAGCAGCTGCAGCAGCAGGGCGTGATGCTGGGGAGGCTGCGAGACATGCATCGTCGTGTGAGTTAAGGCAGGCGCTGGCGGGACAGGCAAGGCCGCCTGACAATGCAGGGTCCATGCTGTTGCTCCCTTGTCCCTCCTGTACTGTGCACCCTAGAGGCGCCTCAAAAGAACAACTTTGCATCGTCCCTCCCTCCTGCATCATCGCTCCCTCCATCCCTCCACCCCACATCATCCCTCCCTCCTGCATCCCCCCATCCTGCAACATCAAAGCTTCCAGCATCAGCATCCCCTCCAGCACCCCCCCCTCCTCCTGGCTTACGCCTAAGCAGCCACCCTCCAGCTGCTCCGGAAAATTCAGGGCTGGTTTGTCCACCTCAGCGTGCCCTTGAGAATACTCAAGCATCTCATGCACACGCGAATCGCCCATCCCCCCTTGCTCCTCCATCCGCATCTGCATCTGCGCGTAACGGGCGGCATGGGCAGATTCTCGGATCAAATCGGGCGGCAGAGACAGCCCTGCCAGCTCAGCCTGTGCCACCCAGCTTCTGACCGCCAGTTGCTGCTGTTGCACCAGAGAGGCCGATGCTGCACCAAACTTATCAATGGTAGCGACATCACCACCAACGCCTGCTACCGCCATACTGTCTGTTCCAGAGGCGCTCAAACCATGTGCGCTCCAGCTCTCCACTGCCACTTGATGCTGCTGCTGCCGCCGCCGCCGCTGCCGCTGCTGCCATTGCTGTTGCTGAAACAGCTCCGCCACGGCTCGTTCCAGAACAGGAACTTGAGCATGTGAAAGGGACGCAGACTGCACGGGCTCCTGGGGACTCACATTCAGCCGACGCTGATACATGCAAGGCGCCATGGCGAGCTCCTCAAGCTGTCCCTGGCGCCTCAACAGCGCCTGCCCAGTGCTCTCATTGGAGCCTCGAGGCACCTTGAGAAGTGGGGTAGGCGGACACACGAGGGCTGCTGCCACAATGGGCTCTTCAACTTGTCCCTGGCGCCTCACCAGCTCCGCCAGCTCCGCCAAGAGACCACTCTCCTCCTCCTCAGTCCCTATATGCGATTCTTGAGGCGCCTCGAAGGTAAACGGCCCGTGGCGCCTCAGCAGCTCCGCCAAGGGACCACTCTCCTCCTCATCCGTAAAGTGACGCCGTCTGTCCATCTCTGTAGGTAAGATGTTCTCTGGTTTGCTTCAAGGATGCTTCGCGTGAAGGTCACTGGGAGGTGTTACTCCTGGTGCGGAGCGGAGCTACCCGGCGAGATACAAGCTGGCAAAGCCGAAGCACCTACAAGGCAGGAAGCATCGACGCGGAAGTCCAAGAAATGGCTATGAGGCCTCGATAGCCCGGATAACAGGAAAGGGGAGTAAACGTTTATAGAATGCAGGAGGGAAAAGGTGAGTACAGTACCGCCGTAGCTTCGACGCCTTCCTTACTACTCCCTCTCCTCCTACTACTTGGCCTGTGGTTGCCAGGGCCGCAGCCGCCACGAGTTGAAGGCGATAAGAGGGAGCGCGAGGCTGCTGGTAACCACCGCACGCGAAGGGGGCTCCTGGAAACGCGGCACTGCGACTCGCAGATTCCTTCCACCAGTGCGAGCCAGCTCCCACAGCCGCGAGCCATGTCCACCGTCCAGCCACCACGAGAGCACATCTTTAATGCGGGAGGAGGTTTCTCACGCCGGGATGGCAACTCTACAGCCACGATCTGTCTCGACGCGGGCGTTGCCTTTTCAGGAGCCTAAGGAACGACTTTGACATCGCAACCTCGCACTTGGAGTCAAAGCGTGGCGAGAGTGGTCTGTATCGAACGCGAAATCGACGAATTTCCGTTGCTATTACCGATTGGCCTGGCGTCGAGCAAGTGTGCGTCATCACCTACACGCGAACGCGTATCTAGGGGCGAAATATCGAGACTGTGTCCTACTCAAGTTTCAATCGCCGCAGATGGATTTTTCCAACTCGACGTATCACGTGAACGGGGGGAGCAATGACGAGAAGCTGACGGAGCAGGATGATCGCGTCACGTGATGGTCTGTCGTCACGGGATCTGTCGGAAAACACTACTGAAGGGGCGAAGGCAAGTTCGTCAGATTTCTACCACGTGATAAGAAGGTTGAACAGTCTTCAGCTTCTGTTCCTGCTGTTCGTGTTCCCTCCTCCGCTGGCCTGCCGCATGCTTCTCCTGCACCTTCGCGCCCAGTGGACAACGACAACTACGTCACGAAACGAAGCACGCTTCCCCGGTTCCCTTGTCCCCCATCCCTGGCCGTGTGAGCTGGCGGATTCCGAGAGCGCAGACGCGGGTAGTAAGGAGCGAAGGGGCGGCGTTGTAAGGACGTGTGGTTCGACACTGATCGTCTGTCTGCTAACGAGGAGTCCCTCTTCGCGGCCGACTACATAAGAATGTTCTATGATCGGTTTGGTTGGGCGGCAAGAGGCGACAACCCTCTCCATTCTCTTGTCGGCCTCCTGTTCAGTCGGGACATCGATACAATACAATCAGAATCGCTACCGTTTGACCCGACATCGAGCAGAAATTACCGTGCATACGACTGAGGGAGGGGCTCGTAAGGCAACTCCCTCTTCATTTACTCCTCCCAGCCTGTTTTGGCAATCTCCTCACAGGCACACCACCTTCCCACCCTTCTTCTCGAAATAAGCGTGTTTCTGAAAAGGAGACGAGTCATTCCCACTCGAGAAGTTGAGTGCGAGATTATGCTTCGTGTAAAGTTGACTAGTAGTGATTCGAAATACTGTAGTCTAATACGAAGCAGGTCACCGCCATGGCAGCCTGTTGTGCGGAAAATGACAGCTGTGACAGTCCGCAGCTAACCACAACTGCCCAGTCCCTCCTCTCCTAACAGAAGCAACATCTAATCGCTGATTTGCGGAGGGGGAGATCAACACACACACCGATCTAGCGGAAGTATTCACGTGACAAGCAGGTGATCGCATTGAATCTGGTACATCCTCGGTTTTGACAGTCCGCGTGTTATGAGTTGTAAAAGAGAGTGAGCGGAATAAAGAATAACGAGGCTTGTGACTGAATGAACTAGCAATACAATGAAGGCACGCGCTAATATATTGACTACCCTAGGTAGGAGGGAACCTCGGGAAAACGAGGTTGGGTGCAGGTTTGGCGATCGAAAAGCCGAAGGCGACGCGGGGTAGCCTCGGCATCGTGGATGTAGGCCGAACGTGCGAAGTCTGAATTATCGGTGTTGTACGCGTAGCAGTCAACCCCGGTAAAGAAGAAGGGGAATTCCTTGCACTACCCACCCCTCCCCCCACCCGCCCCCCCCTCTTCCCCCCTTAAGAAATGTGGTCAATATTCGCAGCTCGCTTGCGGGCGAGATAATCACCAAGAAGCGGGGAAGCTTCGAGCGAGGCGGATGGCACCCAAGTGTCGTCCTCACTGGTGCGGTCGATCCAACGGACCAAAAAGTCCACGTGGCGATCAGCGGCGTCAAGCCAAACACGATGCATCAAAATTTTCAACGGGTCGAATGTCGGTTCTGGGACAAGCTGAGCTGTTGGGGCGGCATTCTGGCGCACGCTGTCTGTCGTGGCAGGGACGAACTTGCGAAGGAGGCTGACATGGAAGGCGTCATGTATACGCCAATCGTAGAGTAGCAGCAGCTTCGCAGAGACAGGTGTCCAGGGTCATCGCTAGCAGACCTTTTTTGTCTATTTGGCTGATATTCAGACATGTTTTTCCTGATTAATCTGATGGGCCAGTCACCATCAGACACAACATTTTTTTTGCCCGGGGGACACGTCTGATTCATCAGACATCCCTCAGACCCTAGCGACGACCCTGCAGGTGTCACCATCAGGAGGATACAAAATTGCCCACAAAATCATGGCCGGAGCTTGTTCGAGTCGGGCAGGCGGAGATTTTTCGTGTCGAGCAGCAGTAGTTGCCCAGCTGTCATGACGATTGCTCGTTGTAGAAGATCCGTGTATTTCGATGCAGTAGTATTAGGGTACATTCCTGTGTGGACACATGTGTCTCAATGCTCGTTTTCCCGAGCCGCGTCTGTAAATTTACAAATTTACGCGTCAGAAACAGTTGATGTATCGCGGCATTCTGCGACAGAAAACCAAGTACACATGGTCGAATTTGATTGGCTCGTCCCATTGGGCCCGAGTTTTGGATGTTTGGCGCCAGGCACGGCTGTAAACAATTTGCGTCTACTGCAAAACACCAAACACCTGGTTCAAGGCAGCAAAGTGCGTCACAGCATCACCTACAAATGCACAACGATCATCGTCTGCTTCTTCTCCCAAACTACCACATCGCACACACATTGCAGCCCTGGCTGTGGTTGCAGTCATGGCGGATCCTTGTGCTGTCCCATTTCTCATGCGCCTTCTCGTCGCATGGATCACATTCTACTACACCATTTTTATGGACGTAGTAGGACGGGCTGTCGGCGGCATGCTGGAAGCCGATGTCTTCGATAGCGACCACTCCACGGCAGAGAGCTCTCACAGCTCCAACAGGACGGCCGAGCGAACGAGGAGGGCACGTCTGCGTTGCCGACGATACGAGCTGCTAGGCGAAGACCTGCAGGGCATGGGCGACACGGAGTTCAGGGATTTCTTCGCGATTAATTGTGCCATCTAGCGTACATTGTCACGAGAATGGCGTACTACATGCTGCCCTACGTTGAGCGATACTTCATCTCGCACTGTCAGAAGACTTGCACTGTGAGATCCCCGATTGATCCTTGGGGGGTTACAGGCCTGTTCGCTTGGGGGGTTATGGGCGCACCGATCCGCTACTGAAAAAAGCCCATTTATCCTAATGGTATAGTGGTTGGGATTCTGACACGCACGATGTCGCGAACTTGGTAGCAATAAAGTACCTGGCCATTGCACCTTGCAAACTATTTCGGGCTGTCGGAGACCCTTTGTCATGCACTCGTCGACGTGTGGCTGATGCACTTCCCGAGCGTCTTCAAGCAGCAGTGGGTGCACTTCCCGACTCCAGAAGACCTCGCCGAGATGGCCGTGGAGTTCCGCGTTGTCAAAGGAGTACCTGCGGTGGTTGGGGCTATAGATGGGACGCACATACACATAAAAGGGATGGAAGGGCACAGACAGGATTACTACACGAGAAAGTCGGCGTACGCATTCCAACTACAGCTCACATGTGATGCGCGTGGCATCATATGGGATTACCTGATCGGGTACCCGGAGAGTGCACACGACCAAAGGGTGTTCATGAACAGTGCTTTACAAGAAAGGTTGCACAACGGCGACATAGCGCCTTATCAAATCGTGGGAGATGCAGCCTACCCACTCAGAGATTTCTGCCTGACCCCACTACATGCACCCCGTGAGGGCCAAATGGAAGACTGGGTGCAGTGCTTCAACTATTGCCAGAGCGCAACGCGCATGGCGGTAGAACGCTGCATCGGCGCCTTCAAAGGCAGATGGCGACTATTCGCGGGCCGCAACGACTGCCAGCTGTGGCGCGTGCTGGCGGGTGCGTCTTGCTGCGTAGTCCTGCACAACATGTGCGAGACAATGGGGCAGGTTAGGCGCGTCAATGAGGTATGGGCAACCCTGCTACGGAACCGAGACCCGTGGTGGACAAGAGGCGCGGTGGCCGATGTGAGAGTACGACGGCTTATGCTGGCGTTGCTAGCTTGCCTAGACTTTATTATGCTATATCTAGCTTGGGTTTTATTTATCATGCATAGATATGCTTGATTTCCTAGGTTAGGTGCATTCTTATATTTTATTATAGTTATAGCACCGAACCAGGTTACGTGTACTGAACTCAAGCCTATTCGCTTTCCACCAAATTGCATTCTACTGAGTTCGGGAAGGTTCTGTTCGGGACGCTTCGCGACCCTCAGAACATTAGCGTAGCACCTGGGTAACTGGCCTTGTGTCGAGACTATATATAGCCTCGTGTTGTACCCAGGTGGATCATTCAATAGAATCATCTTTCTTGAACCAGATCCTCACACTTGGTAATCAGAGCCGGTTTACACGCGAGGTCTTCAACCGCTTAGTTTCGGCCTTTAAAAACCGCGGGGGCGACGACGGAAGCGCCGATACGGGTATGTAAAACCAGTTCCGCGCAATTTTTCTAAGTCCCCCCCGATTCGGTTTTCGAATATCCCTCAGATTTATTGGTGAAAAGG